GGGAAATGCTGATGAGGTTGTTGCCTTCTGCGTTGCGGTCTTTGCTGGTACTGTCGCTGCGGCGGCTGGTAGTGGTAGGACAGACACGACCATGACCACTTACGTTTGAGCTGTCCAGGCAGTTCCATGCGTCTAGCCGTCATCCGGGATTCATGGATGGACTTTAGTTTGTGATCGGTGCGGGAGTGAAAAAGCCCGGAGCCGTCAAAGGGCATTTCCTCTATTCGCCGCTTCATTTCATCAGGGAAGTTGCAGTTTCGCAACCAGGCATGCCTTCTCAGTGAGACAGCCCCCACAAGAGCTCTCGAGTCCATATCCACATGGTGGCGTGCTGTGGATAGTTGTTGAATGGCAACTTGCATCCCCTCTTTAATGAAGGTTCTGGCAAGATCCCGTTGTTGTTCAGGCAGGGAAGCGACAATATTATTCAGCCTCTGCATAATAAAGAATTGATACCTGGCCAGGGTGGCTTCATAGTTGGACGGAATCCGAAAGAATCCGTGGGTGAGGACGGAATCCGAAAGAATGGTAGTCCTCCCAACCCGACTGGTAGTTGTAGTAGGGCTGGAACCATCCTTCTTCCCGCCTCATGTCCATTCGGGACCGAGGTGGTGGTGATGGAGATCGGTCTCTAGCTCTTGCCGTAGGCATAGGAGTCGGGGAACGAGCCCTCGGAGGGGAGTCCCGAATCTCCCCATCGGATATGGACTCACATTGCGGCTCCTCAGGCGGTTGGATAGGTAGGCCCTGTTGTGGAGCAGGTTGCATTGGGGACCCTGGAGGGGTAACCTGCATCGCCACTTGAAGCATCAGTACTGACGGCGTTGGTACCGAAGCTGCTGCCGGGATTGATCCAGCTGTCAAACCCGAATCCCGGTGCCTCTACTTATGAGGCGGTTTGGCCGCCTTATCCTTCTTCGCCTTCTTATGGGCCGAAGACTGATCCAATCCCCCATGCTTCCTCTTTTCCTGTTGTTTACGCGGGGGAGAAAGAGGTTGCTGAGTCCCGGAGGGGGAATTTCCATCATCCAATGGGTGTGGCTGAGATATGGGCGGCGTGGGCGAAGGGCATTGCCCGGACATGCCCGAGGCAGAGGCTGGGCATTCAACCGCTGCGGACGAGGCTGTGGCCTTGCGCTTAGCAGATGGAGCATGCGCTGGCCCAGGCTTTACTGCAGGATGATCTGATTGCATCAGCGCTTGATCCCATAGGAGCTTCCGCAGTCGGTTCTCCCTATTTTTTCACGCTTGCTTAGTAAAAGCAAGGCAATGGCGGCATTTATCAGTCCTGTGCCCCTCGCCGAGGCAAAGGAGGCACAAGTCATGCGGGTCCGCCGGAGACATTTTGGACCCATGTTCCGCACATTTGCGGAAGGCCGCTCGCTGCGCCATCGCAGAAACAGAAGAAATAGAATATAGGAAAGAGGGAAAAGCAATATATTTTTGGTTTGTTTGTTTTTTTTTAGGAATGAAGAAAAAGAGAAAAAGGAGATATAAACTGCAACGAGGGAACAATAACTTGGAATAAGAGCAAAAAGACAAACAGTAAGTAACGAAGAATACTGAGTCGAGCAAGAAATGAACAGGCACGAGGCATAGCGAACGGCGGTCGCAAAAGACTGGAGAAAATGACGGACACTCTGCTCTATATATATGCTACCGAGGGGGAGGGGAGCGGAGTTTTTCCCGCCAAAAACCATTAGCTTTCTAATCTTTCCGGCCTAGGCACTGCGCAGGCGCAGCACCCATATGTGTGATGCACAGAGGCCACGACTAAGAACTGCAGTTATTGCACCACTCCTGAAGAAGCCTACCCTGGACCTGACTGATGTCAACAATTTTCTGCCAATTACTAACATCCCCTTTCCGGGCAAGGTGATCGAGTAGGCTGTAGCTGAACAGCTTCAGGCATTCCAGGAGGAAACGGATTACCCTGATCCATTTCAATCGGGCTTTAGGCCTGGTTTCGGCATAGAAACTGCCTTGGTCACCCTGTGGGATGACCTTTGCCAGGAGAGAGAAAGGGGGGTGCACAACCCTGCTGAATCTTCTGCACTTCTCAGGGGCTTTTGATACCATTGACCACAGGAGAGGTTGGCCGGACTGTGGGTTGGGGGCACCACTCTGCACTCCTATCTGGCTGACTGTCTCCAGATGGTGGTGCTGGAGGACTTCTGCTCTGCACCATGGCCTTTGTGCCATGGAATTCCAGAGGGCTATATTTTGTCCCCCATGCTCTTTAGTATCTACATGAAACCACTGGGAGAGGACATCAGGAGTACACTGATGACATGCAACTCCTCTGCGTGTTTTCATCTAATTCAGGTGAGGCAGCAACTGAGCTCAGCAATGAACTGGATGCAGGCCAATAAGCTGAAGCTCAATCCAGACAAGACAGTGGTGCTGTTGGTGAGGAGCCCATCTGTTCAGCTGAGGAGTTTTCAACCTGTCCTGGACAGGGTCATGCTCCCTCTGAAGGACCATGAGCACTCCTAGGTTCACAGCCTAGTGCTCCTGGCTCCCAGTTGTTGCTCAGGTGTGCTAGGAGAGCTTTTTATCAACTTTGGCTGCTTTATTAGCCATGTCCTGCTTGGACGAGTGGCACCTTGCTACAGCTATCCATGCAGTGGAAACCACCCACTTGGATTACTATAATGTGCTCTCTGTGAGACTGCCTTTGCAAACGGTCTGGACCTTGCAACTTGTCCAAATCAGGCCTACCACTCTGGTCTTAGGCAGGCTACACTGGCTGCCAGTTGCTGTCTGAGCCCTGTTCCAAGTGCTCACGGTAACATACAAGGGCTACATGGCTCAGGGTCAGGCTGTCTGCGGGAGATGTGCCCTCCCGATCACCGTGGTCGGCACCCAAGACCCTCCCCTGCGTTGCTTCCTTGAGTGACGTGAGGGGGGAGTTGGCAAGGAGGATGCATCTTCCTGCACTGCACCCCAGTTATGGAATTTGATCTCGCAAGAAGTTCAGATGCCAGCTGAAGGCTTCCACGTTTTGCACTTATTTTGAAGGGTGAATTTGTTGGGCTTGATTTTGAATTTAGTTGCTGCTACCATTTTAACCATAACTTCATGGTTATGGTTTATTACCATAACCTTGTTTTTCAAATTTTGGTTGTGCCTTATGCTGTATTAATGGATAATTGCTTTATATCCCCCCTTTCAGTTTACCAATTTATAATCTAGTTATTTATCTTATATATTTATTTTATTGTTATATCCCCATTTATTGTTATTAGTTGTTTTTATTACTATTAATATTACTGATACCATTGTTTTATTGTATTGTTGATTTCACTGTGTTTGACTGTATGTGAGCTGACTAATTGGGCAGCACACAAATCAAACAAACAAATAAATGAACCTTCTGCAGAAAAAGGGACGGGACAGGCCTGCTGCAAGGGGGACAGTTCAAAGGAGGCCAGTGAGCAGTACGGAAAGTCAGGCCTCTGAGCGGCCTGGACAACCTGGTTTGCGGGACACAACAGAGCTCATAGAAGAGCTGTGTGGATGCCACCTAGAAGGGGGCACAAGGCTGTGCTCAAGTCACAGGAAGGCTGATTTTGGAAGAATCTCGGGAGAGAGCTCTCCAGGTGAGGCACAGCCAGCCTCTTCACAGGGTGCAGCACCTGCTCCTTGACCAGAGGCCAGGGGCCCTCTGCTGGGGATTTCCTGGAGCCCGGAGCAGGGATGGCGGGGCTGGAACTCCTGCAAAGTCTGGCCAACTCTGTATTTCTGTGAGGTTTGGACAGGAGAGGCATACTCATTAGAAGCATAGAAGCACAGAAACAGAAAGAGTCAGAAGGGGCCTCTTGGGCCATCTAGTCTGACCCCTGGCTCCAGCCAGCTCTGCTCACGACATGCCCACCATGTGCATGTCCAACCTATCTTTGAACACCCTCCCTGATGGGGCCCCAACGACCTCCCGTGGAAGCCCATTCCACACCCTCGGGGTCCTGACTGTCAGGAAGTGCTTCCTGGCATCCAAAGGAAATCTTGGCTCCCTGAGCTTTGCTCCATTGGAGAACGTCCTGCCCTCCTCTGCAAGGGAGAACAGGTATCTACCCACCTCCGTGTGACACCCCTTCACATACCTGCATGTCGCCAACATATTCCCTCTGAGTCTCCTCTTCTCCAGGCTGAAGAGACCCAGTTCCCTCAGTCTCGCCTCATACCCCACCCCCTGCAAACCAGCCATCAACCTTGTGGCCCTGCGCTGCACTGACTCTAACCTGGCTATATCCTTCCTGTAATGAGGAGCCCAAAACTGAACACAATATTCCAGTTGTGGGTGCACCAGAGTTGTATAGATTTGTATAGTTGCATAGAGTTGTATAGTTGTATAGTTCTCGATCTAGAAGCCACACTCCTCAACTCCCTTGCCTTCCAGTAACCTATCCCAGAAGGCTTTCCCCAGTCTGGCCTTCAGTTGGCCAAAGTTGGCCCTCTTGAAGTCCCAGCTTCTAGTGCTCGACCTGCTGCACGTCCCCATTCCCCTGATCTCAAAGCAAAGGATGGAGTGGTCACTCACATCCAAAGCTCTGCTAATCTGTACCTCATCTATCAGCTCCTCCCTTGCACACACACAAGCCCAGGAATCTGAGAGCCAGTGTGGTGTAGTGGTTAAGAGCATGGGACTGGGACTCAGAGGATCTGGGTTCTAGTCCCCGCTCAGCCATGGGGCCAACTGGGTGACTTTGGGCCAATCACAGACTCTCAGCCCAACCTACCTCACAGGGTTGTTGTTATGGGGATAAGATGGAGGAGGCGAATGATGTAAGCTGCCTTGAGCCCTTTGTAGGATATAAATAGAATAAATAAATAAATAAGCTAGCATCTTCCTGAAACCTGGACGGGATGAGCAGAGGGTTCACCGCCTCCTGTACTGAGTGACTCATGCTGTGGGTGGTCCTGGGCATTGTGCGAGGCTGGGCAGAACACAGCTTGCTTTGTTCTGAGTAGAAAGAAAAACGCCAGAAGTAAATACTCACTGGCATCAAAAGCAGCTTTCAACGCCTGGATATCGGTGGCAACCCCGGAGACACGGTAGATGCCCACCTCCTCCAGGCCGCGGCGCTCCACCTCCTCCACACACTGGCGCACAATGTAAGGCACCTTCGACCGCTCCCTCCTGCACAAAGAAAATGCGTGACGCAACAGATACCTACTTATCTGTTTTACTATGTTCTTTGCCTTCCAATAACTGCAGGATCTCCTGATAGTTTACAAAAATTTAAACCATAATTCAAGCACGATAAAATGGAATATAAACTTTTAAACTTACAGGGTAAGATTAAGAAATGATCTGCAGTAAAAACTGTCAGGAGCACAAACATTTAAAAGACAGTCACAAATTTAAAACAACTGAAATAATGAAATGCTTCTAAAAACAAGAACTTTCTTTCCATGGTGCTACACACGCTCAGCACAGGTGCTGGTGAGCCTTTCTGGAAACTCAGTCCATGTCTGTGGGTCACAGCTGAAAAGACCCTCCTCTCAGTAGCCACCCTCTTGTTTCCTCATCAGGGGCTGGTGGAGAAGGTCCCCTGAGGACGTCGTAGAGCCAAGGCAGCAATATTTAGGAGCAAACAATCCTGGGAGTGCCCCGGCCCCAAAGCCATTTAAAACTTTGCATGTTAATGTCAAGCACTTTGAACTGAGTGCAATGGAAAAGTATTGGCCAGTCTTCATTAATAATCTCACTGCCCTGTTTTGGAAACAAAACAACTGAAGTTTCCAAAACATTTCAAAGGCAGCCTCATGTATAGCGTAGCACAGTAGTCCAGGAAGGAGGTCTCCAAACAAGGCCTTCCAGTCTAGAGTCATAAAAGATGCCCCACGCCACGGAACCCATCCGGCTGGATCCAAGCGAACCAGCAACCTGGTCCTTCAAGGGGAGTGCGGCCCATTCCAGAACAGACTGAGCACCCCTTAGCTGGGCAGAACCAGACGCTGCCAGGGCCCCACGATTGGACCGAGCACCTGCCTGGCCCAGGCCCTGTTCACACAGCAGCACACCAGCTGCGCACAGGGTGCCTGAGCAGGGCGTGAGCGCCCACCCATGCTCTCCGGCAAGCGGTGTGCACAGCACAGTGCTTCTGCGACCTGAGGCCGCGTGCACCTGTCAGGCCTGCTCCTCCCTCATCCGGTCTTGCCTGCTCGGAGTATTTAATTTTCGCTGCAGGAAAAAATGTGTCCTTTCAGGTAGTGCTTGGCCCAAGGAAAAGGTATATTGTCTAAGACAAAACCAGCAGGAAGAACGGGGATGACTCACTTGGTAACAACTGCAATCTTCACTCCAAACACTCCTGTCTGCTTGCGAGAGGGCATCCTCTTTAAGCTGAACTCCCTGCTTGTAAACTTCACGGACAGTTTCACTTCAACCTTTGAGAAAAGGAGCAGCAGTTACTCTTTCCAACTACAGCAGTTTCTCGCGAGTGACTTTCCCACCGCACGCCCCTGGAAGAGTCCTACGGGTAGCCTGCAAGAGAGCGTGGGCACGGAAGGGCGGCTGGCTGGCTCTATGCCCCGCTCTCCTGCGCATCATTCGCCTGGCGCAGCTTCCCTCCCTCCTCTTGCCTGGAGGACAGAGCAACGCCTCCTCCACGCACCACGGTATGTCACCATGGTGCCACAGCCTTCCATGGAGCCCTGCACCGCTGCAAAACAACAACCCCGCCAGGCAGGCTAATTGTGGGTGGCGGAGTAGCTGCAGACCCCAGTCAATGTGGAGCATGGCCAGTAGGTCTGTCGCACACCTGGCCTGGCGGAGCAAAACGCTGCACCAGCTAGACCACCAGTCAGATTGCGCAGGGCTCTCCTTAAGTTCTTATGTCCAAGGAAAGGGAGAAAGCAAAGCTGGTGGGCAGAGGGAATGCTCTAAAGCAAGCGGCAACAGGAGGGAAACCATATGCCTAGCCCCCAAAACGCACATTTCTAATTTTATGCCCTGTACTTCTGAAACTTTGTTTCTTGGATTTACACTAAAAATAGGGTTCCAGCCAGAATTCTTAATGTACAGTCCTTAATTTATTCATTCTACCCTTCAACCAATGGTGCCTTTTTCACGCAATCTTTATCTCTGGTTTTGACTCACTGCTGATGCCTTATTTCAGTTTTAATATGCTGTTTTATTTGCTTTCTTTTAAAACCAACGCTTAGGCTGCTTTGAGAACCTGCTGATGCTACTGAGGCCACTCAGCCTTGCTCTAGCAAGTAGCTGGAGATCCAGACTGTTAGTCTCACTGGGGAAGTCTCTGCATTGGGTGGAATTAAGGCATCTAATGGCCAGCACAAGCAATTAACTGTCGCTGAGGGCCAACGCAGGTTCTGTGTGTTGTGTTAGCTGTCGCTGTCTTGCAGATTTCCATCAACAATGAAGGGCCCAATCAACTGGACACCAATAGTGGAGGGGACCACGCAGCTCGGGCGGCCAAAAGTCCACCTGCTCCGCTGGGGTGGGGCACCGGCTGCGCTATTCTGGCGACATGTGACCGGCCATGCTCGCACCCTGCCTGGAGCACCATCGCAGCATCTTCCCGAAGGGGCTGCCTTTCGAGATGCTCCTGAAGCTTCTGCTTGCCCCGCAGGTCCCTCCCTCCTGAACCGGCCTTGCTTCCAGGCAGAATGCCCAGTGCCAGTTCTGGCCTACAGTGTCCAGACGGCTCGGACCCGCCCTTTCCCCGAGCACAACCAGGCCACAGAGGGGACCCACTGCACTGGCCACTGTGTTCACGCTGCCTGCATTCATTAATTCATTCTTCCATTTATATGCCACCTACTACCCAAGTCAAGTGCTTTTGTGTTTCAATTGTGCTTTAATGTATCTGTGTATTGTTTCATCAAGTTTTATTGGTGGTGCTAAGCCACCCCAAGTGCCACGTTTTGGTAGAAAGATGGTGTAAAAATCAAAGCAGTCACTCCACTGACCAGTCAAGAGTCTTGGGGAGAAGAGGCCCTGTCTCCGTGCCCAGGAAGGCAGCGGAGGACTCTGCTGCGGCACTCATTCGGCACACCACCCGGTCCTCTGCAGTGCAACACGATCATGTCAGAAGTGCAGCTTTGCCCGCAGGAGCTCTTAATGCAGACAGGTTCAACTTGTGGGAAAGGTGCCAGCGCAGCATTTCTGACATGAGGTTGGAAAAAGAGGACAGGAAGCACGAGGGCTCCACATACACTGTTCCTGGGTGGCAGCTGCATGTTCATCTGGACTGCACCCACAAAAGGGGCTCATCATGAAGCAGACCCTCCGGCAGATACAGACGTGGCAGCAGAGTACACAGGCCTGGACAGAAGCTTGCCCTGCCGGCCAGAACATCGTGGGCCACGTCTCGGGAAAAGCACGCACCAGAACCCAGTCCCTGGAGGCAAGCAGCACACGCGCCCCAGAAAGCCGCGCCAGGAGCTGCAAGGTGGTCGGGCGCAATGTTTGGTACTTACTCCGCCCATCAGGATGACTGTGCGCTGCCAGTCTTTCTCCTGGAAGGCCTGTGGATCCAGCTGAAAAAGGGAAATGGTCAGAGGGCTAGCAACCTGGAAGCCATGCACCTCAGTCGCTAGTTAAGCACGTCTAATTAATGTGGCATGAAAGTCATGTGTGTGGAGACGCCAGGCTACCTGCCGAGTCCCGACAGCCTTCCTTGTAACAACAGCTCACAGTCCTCAGTGGCTCTCCACAAGAGAGCCTCCTCTCCGTCTCAGGGCCCCTCCAGCTGGATTTGCCTCTGCCACCCTCTTCCACATGGAAAAGAGGAATCCAAGATGCTGGAGAAAATGGCTCAGAAAAGCCACGTGGAAGTTCTGAGAAATGGACCAAATACGTTCAAGCACAACATTGACCTGACAGGTCTTAATCACAATGGGGTTTTTGCCCCTCCCTGCCCAGGACGCAGCTGCCTGACCAGCCAGCTTATGTCTTTGAGCAGAGCCTCGTTCGCCCACACCCATTTCTGGCCCTTTCCTCTGTCTCCAATGAGGGGTGAAACACAGGGGGCACTGTTGCCCCAGGTGCATCTGGCTGTGCTCCTCACCGAGCCTCCACCCACCCGTATGCCCGACTGAAGCACTTCCAGCACACTGCAGAATTCCAAGAGCCCTTCCTCACTGCTTGTCTCTTTGGGAGAAACTGGCCTTGCCTCAGGCCATGGAGAGTCTCCACCAGCCCTGCAGCGAACAGAAGCAGTGTTGCAACTGCCGCATACTCTGGACAGTCGAAGCAATCGGGTGGAAGAGGGAAGCAGAGCCAACCTTCCGTGAGACACAAGGTCCCAGAAATGGGGGCACAGAGAGGCGCTTCCAGCCAGCAGGCACATCCCAGGTCGATCCTGCAGCAACAGCTGTGGCCCCAACACTCGGTGACTCTCTGAGCGGTGAGGTTAGCAGCCGTTCCCGGCTCTCTCAGTGTGCTGCGCAAGAGATCTGCAAGCTCGCTGTCAAAACGGACCCCCCTTGCTCTCTCAGAAGCTTCTGCACAAACATTCCTCCCAAAGGTCCTGCCCGCTCCGGAGTGGGCAGCCAGGGCTCCAACCAACCATCCACAGCATCCGTTGCTTCTCCTTCCCCAAAGCCTTTCTCATCAGGCATGTTGTTTCCCCAGAATCAAGAGGGAATTGCCCCTGAAGTGCATGGTCTCTGCTGGGGAAAGAGTGAGCCAAGCACAGCAAATGGCCTCCAGAGAGTGCCTCATCATATTCCTGCCACAGGGTCAACAGTAAACCCGGCATACAGGGCACCAACTAAGGCCAAGGGCAAGCACCGGGAGCATTTGCGGGTGATGCTGGATCAGTAAGCGGGCGCTCTTCACAGGGCCCTAGGATCATGCACACCCCCACCCCATCTTGGGAGGACAGGCTGCTTTCCCGCAACTGTGCTTCTTCGAGCCACCATTTGGGCTATGCACTTGCAAAATGGAGAGCGAAACAGAGGAATGGAGGGAAATAAAAGGTGAGGTATCAAAGTGAGGGAAAGAGCAGGTTCTGAGGTCACAGAAGAGCACTCAGAGAAGCAGGATTGAAGGTAAGCAACCTCCTTTGTGATGCCTGTGACTCACACGCACAGATACCTAGCAAGCAACAGACTTTGAGGTGGGAGAAGTCACACAGAGACACAAGAAAGAATGGCTCTTCCAAAGGCTGCATCAGCACAAGCTCTGCTATCTAAGCAGTCCTGTCTGATAAAGGTTAACAGCAATAGCGGGAAAGAAAGGCTCCCCTAAGAAGCGCAGCAGGGAGGCGATGGCTCTGGACTCAAGGGAACCAGTGGGCTGCGCCAGTTGCAAGGGAGCTGGATGGCTGAGAGCACCCTTTTTCAGGCCACTGTGAAGACGCTGCCCCTTTCTTGGACCAGCAGGGCAGACAAAGAGGTGATTTTCCAGGAGGAGGACATCCCAGAGACATGGAATGCTGTTGCTCTAGGGATGCCCAGTGAGTGAAGCTTCACTTCTCCAGGGCAAGTGGGATGAGGAGGGAGATGGGTGAGTACTGTCTTTGTCTGGGTGTAAATGGCACTGAGATGTATGGAGGAAAGGAACAGTCCAAGTGCAGCTGTACCTTGTCTTTCTGAAGAATCAATGGCTGGTCATGATGTGGGGTGCACAGCTCACTCACCGGTGGGCAGAGGCAATGGAGACGAAGAAGGCCTTATTCATGGTGAGGAGTCAAGGTCGACCGCGGCTGGAAATTCGGCTGGTCTTGCTGAATGAAAGAATCTGTTGCCCAGGGAAAACCTGAGGAACTCGATAAGCAGGAGATGGAGGGAGGCATCTCAAAGGGCTGCTGTCACAGAGCAGTCTTCCTTGGTGAAGGTGGGAGAGCACAGTTCTGAGTCGTGCTGAGCTTTCTGAGGCATGTACACACTGTTGGTATCCCAGGGGCCACACATGGGGGGGAGGGGTTGTCCTTTTGGGAGACCACAAAATATCTCTAAAAGACGCTGGGTATCCTATGACTGGAGGGCAGCTTGTCCATCCTGCCACTGCTCAAAAGGCAGCAACTTCCAGGAAACCTGGATCAGTGAGATTGCTCCTAGGGATGACGGAAAGCCCTTCTGCCTGGGCAATGTTCTTTAGGCCAGTGGGAAAGGTCCTGGTCTGTCGCAGTGCGGAGAAGTGCCATATCGGGCGCTGTGGAAAAAGTGTCAAAGACTTACTGCCCATTTGTCCAGGCAGGGGTCTTGCCACAGAAGTGTTGCTACTATTTGTTTTGAAAGGGTTGCGTTGATGGAGGGAGGGAGGGGATCTCTCCTAGGAGACCCGCTTTACCCTGCACTGGAAGAGCAACAAGACAGTGGCTGACCTGCTGGTGCCAGTGTGGAGGCCCGGGCAGCCACTCCCCTTTTACGGGTGGATTTCTAAATCCAGTCTAGTGTGTCATCCATGGAGGCCGAAGAAGAGGTGGAGTGGAGGGGTTTGCTGATGACTGTTTAATTGCATAGCTAATTACATAAGTAGGGACCACTGTGATGGTGACTGCTTGTGCCAACTCAGTACTTGAAACTACCTTTCTTACGTAAGTTACACTGAGCCTTAAGCAAAATCTTTGTGGAAAATGACTTCTACATAAATGCATGGAAAAGGGACCCCAGATACTGCACACTCAAACCGAGCATGAATGAATTAAATTAAGGTGAGCTCTATCCAATCCATGGCGAAGTCAGTTTGGTATTTATGAGTTCTTCAAGCAACTATTCAGAAAAAACGCATCACTTTTCCAAGAAATTTCTCCTTACTCCAAAGGCTGGCACATGCAGGCCAGCATTCTGAGACGGCAAAGAACTGAGAGGAAAAAGATGTGTATTTTGTTCCAAGCTGGCCAGACAAGATGTTCATATGTTCAGTACAGGAACAGGCAGAGAAGTTGGAAAGACCAAACAATACATAGCAAGTGGAGAATCAAAAAGAAAGGGCATGCAGAATGTCGACTGACACGGGACATAAAAGCAAGAGAAGGACACAGTAAATTGCTTTATAAAGATGCTTATCTGTTAATGCAACTGATGAACTGTTGCTATAGCAGGCACCTTTCAAGACCCCAGTGACCAATATATTTTCAGCAAAGGAACTTGGTGCCTGCTATAAGGCACCCTCACTGCTGCTGCTGCATTACATTAATACATCACATTAATATCCCACCTTTCTTCCTCTTACGAGAAAAACAAGGCAACTTACAGAGATTTCTTCCTCTTCCCTTTATTCTCTCAACAACAACTCTGGTGCTGGAGGTCAGACTAGATGGCCTGGAAGGCCCCTTCTGACTCGCGCTGTTTTCTATGTTTCTATGTTTTCTATGTAACTCTGTGAGGTAGGTTAGGCTGGGAAGCTGTGACTACCCCCAAAGGGATCCCATGAGCTTCAAGTTTTCACAGAATCAAAGATTAATTCAACATTAGAGCTGGAAGGAGCCAGAGGGCCACTGAGTCGAAGCCCCTGCTCAGCGCAGGACTTCAGGTTACAGCATTCCTGACACAAGAAGGCTGTACAAGCCTCTTCTCAATGCCTCCAGCGTGGGAGAGTCTATCTCCTCCCAAGCTCATGGGTTCCATGCTGTCGTTTTTCCTGAAGTTCAGCCAGAATCTAGCTTCATCTTAAGCCCATTATTTTCTGTCTGGCACTCTGACGTCCAGCCAACCTCTCTGTGGCAACCTTTCAAGTGCTTGCAGTATGCCACCATATCTTCCCAAGATCTTCTCAAGGCTCACCATGCCACCTCTCTTCACACGGCTTTCTTTCTAGTTTCTGGATCACCCTGGCTGCCCTTCTCTGGACCTCTTCCAGTTTGGCCGTATATCAAACTGTGGTGCCAAAAACTGGACACAGCACTCCAGATGAGTCCTAACCAGTGCTGAGTGAAAGCAGACCTAATACTTCATGGGCTTGGAAGTGAAACTTTTAATGCAGCCAAAAATACCATTTGCCCTTTTTGCAGCCGCATCACACTGTTGGCTCTTATTCAGCTTGTGATCCACAACACTTCCAAGATCCTTCTCACTTGCAGTATTGTTCAGCCAAGTGTTCCTCATCATTTGGTCTCTTTCCTAGGTGCAGAACCTGATGTTTGTCCCTAAAGAATTTCATTCTGCTGTTTTCAGCCTGGTGCTTCAGCCTATCAAGATCACCTTGAATCTTCTTTCTATCTTCCAGGGTATTAGCTGAAAGTCCCATCCACTTCTGCATCATCTGTAAATTTGATCATCGTTTCCTTCACTTCCTGGTCCAAATAATTAATGAAAATGTTGAAGAGCCAGGAATGGGCCCTGCAGCACCCCACCTGTTACCTTTCCACAGCAGGAGGAGGTGCCATTGATGAGCCCTCCCTCAGACCAATTGTGTAGCCAACTGATGGATCCACCTGATCAATGTCCCATCTAGCCCACTTTTTTCTACTTCCTTTTTTTTAAATACATTTTATTATTTTTTTTCTACAATCTAATATTAAAAACAACAGTTATTTAAGACATTGGATATACGTTCTGGTTTGACATCTTCCTCATTTTAACAGTCAGTA